GCATTGTCAGCTGCGCCGCCCAAGCGCCCAGCGCAATGCGTGCCCCAAAGCTGTTCAAAGTGATGTCGAACTGATCTGGCGAGCGCTCGTCGTCTGAAACTTCACGACGGCGCAATTCCGTCGCCCCGTCTGCCCGCCTGTCCCTGTCTGAAGTTTTCACCCCGTCCACCTCCAAGACACCAGGTGGGAGTTGATCAGCTGATTTGCAAAACTGTCAAGCCTCCTGAGAAACAGCATGCGTCGGCCATCCCAGAGGTAGCTTCTTCGGGATTCGATGAGCCCATCGACGTCCTGAACGCCTCCCGATGCGCTGAGCAGAGATCGGGCTTTCAGCATCTGCTCCACGGGGGCCATCGTCCACCACGTCGTCGTCGACCAATCCCCTGGAGACTTCCGGTCCTTCTTGCAAAAGTCCGCGGCCGCGCTGGCCCCGTCAACCACGTCGGAAAGAGTCCGAGAGCCGCGCGCACAAGCGTTGTTTTCGACGCGAACCCGGCGAGAATGCCACGTCGACGCGGGGCCCCACCCGAATAGCGTTGTCCTGCCCCCTCGAAAACCGTAAACTGCTGGGACGTTCCGCAGAAGGCTCGAAGAATCTTCGAAGCGAAAATGTCCAACAACAAGAAAATGATCTGATCTCCTGAACATCTCCGAAAGACGCGCATCGGCACGTGCGTCGCCCGACACGCACATAGACAACCCCAGGTACGTAGTATGTTTGATCTCGTTGAGATCAGTTGCGCCGCTTTCCGATTCTAGTCACCATGCTTCTCCGTCGAAGGGGTGCTCGAGAACGCGTTGACAAGTCTGATGCCGAAGCGCTGCAGCCACTGGAAGACCAGGGCCCGATTGGGATTACACGGCAACGGCGTCCAAGGACTGCAAGCTGTCACCCCGTCTTGCAAAGGCGCAAAAAGTAGGTTGAGATCAGTTCCGAACGCAAGCATTGGAGAAATGCCTTCGGATCGAAGCTTGCCCGGACGGGTAGAGATTGCAACCGCAGATTCTTCCAAAGCGATTTGGGATTCATCGCCTTGCTTCTGAATACCTGGCAAATGCATCGCAACAAATATCAAAGGAACAAGTACCATAACCGCCTAATGACTGCCATCGGAGGTGAGGGGGTGAGATCGAAGTGGAACGGAGAGCCCCCCTACCGGGAAATCGATTTCGGTTTCGTGTTCGTGCGTGCCGCGCGCGCGGGCGAGGCGAAGCTGCGTGGGCGGGCGAGAGGAAAGTCTCCTGTGGCTGAGGCGTGGCCGGACCAAATGTGTCTCTTCCGGGCGGCCGGTGGCGCGCGGTGTCCCGCCGGTGCCCCGCTGGTGTCCCGTCGGTGTCCCTGTGGCTGAGGCGCGGCCGGACCTAATGTGTCTCTTCTGGGCGGCCGGTGGCGCGCGGTGTCCCGCCGGTGTCCCGCTGGTGTCCCCTCGGTGTTCCTGTGGCTGAGGCGCGGCCGGACCTAATGTGTCTCTTCCGGGCGGCCGGTGGCGCGCGGTGTCCCGCCAGTGTCCCGCTGGTGTCCCGTCGGTGTCCCTGTGGCTGAGGCGCGGCCGGACCAAATGTGTCTCTTCTGGGCGGCCGGTGGCGCGCGGTGTCCCGCCGGTGTCCCGCTGGTGACCCGTCGGTGTCGTGTCGGTGTCCCGATGATGATGTGGATGATTATGATGATGATGATGGTGATGATGATGGTGATCATGGCGATGATAATGATGATGATGATGATGTTGGTGTTGTTGTTGATGATGATGATGACGTCGATTGTGAGGTCGATTGTGACATCGATAGTGAGACCGAATGTGAGATCGATTGTGAGATCGAATGTGAGATCGATTGTAAGATCGATAGTGAGATCGATTGTGAAACCGAATGTGAGATCGATAGTGAGATCGATTGTGAGATCGATAGTGAGATAGATAGTGAGACCGAATGTGAGACCGAATGTGAGATCGACTGTGAGATCGATTGTGAGATCGATAGTGAGATCGACAGTGAGACCGAATGTGAGACCGAATGTGAGATCGATTGTGAGATCGACTGCGAGATCGATAGTGAGATCGATAGCGAGCTCCATAATTAGTGATATCGATAGTGAGATCGAATGTGAGATCGATTGTGAGATCGATAGCGAGATCGATTGAGTGAGACGTTGGTTCCCCCTCCCCCCTCACCTCCTTATCACCCGCAGGGTGGTCGTATAGGTAAATAGCGTCTTTGATAAAAATAACCGGACGCCTCGGCATGACAAATCCAACGCTTGATATACCTGCTTCCAGGCCAGCTCGAACTGCCACAGTCGTGTAGTTGGTCGTCTTCCACCTCCTGATCTCCTCGCACATGGTAATATCAAGATAAGACTCCCCAGCGTAACGGCAAAAGCTGCGAACACGAGGGCACGACCTGTTGGCTGCATTCCACGCGGCGACGTGTTCAGTCTAATGAACAAAAGGGTTACGGACTGTTCTAACCTGGCGTCGTGGAGGCTTGAAACTATAATATGAGACCCAGAAGGAATCAACATCATCAAAGGACATCGTCCTGCAAGCTTCAGTAGACCACTGGATGGCACCACTCTCCTCTAACACCTCGGCGAGTAAGGCCTCAGCATCTCCACATACCATGAGTACAAATCTGGAGACCTGTCCTTCCTCACCGTGGCCTGAGGAAGCATGCGCAAAGACACCCAAGAAGCAATGCGCGCAAGAACTCTGTTGGCCCTTCGCCGGACAAGGGAAGGCTCCTCACGAGTGAAAGCTTCACCTGTACGGACACATGGAATGCCGTGTTACACTTCCTCCCTCCATCTGCTGGCAACCTTCTGCTGCAGATGAGGCTGCATTGGGACCAAGCTCTGCGGAATGAAATGGCCCTTCAAATTGAGCTTGTCCTTCAGCACGCCATGATGGATGCTGATGTGCAGTGTCATAACCAATGCGTCCACTAGCTCCTGAGCCTGCACTTTGGTCCATTTAGCAGGTCGACATGCCAGCAATATATTTCACCTCCATGCAAGAAACCGTCCACACATTAGGTTTCTGGAAACGGTCTGGGTCGCTTATCTCTGTCTGTAAGGCGGCCTTTCTCTCCTGCTAAAGACGCACCCTCTTTGCTAGGCTTTTGACTGAATAAGTCTGCGAGTCCAGTCGAGATCGAATTGTTTGAAGGCTCGAACACATCTCCATTAAAACAGCTCCAGAGTTCATCGAAGGAATGACTCGGCAATAGAAAAAATAAAACAATTAGTGTCGAAAATCTTGTGACAGCAACCGAAAATCTGCAGGATGCTACCGAACAAAATTGCGCGGATCACGCCTCGATCTGTGTGTACGTGCGGCTCAACGGTCCATGGGGCGAACGCGACCGGGTGGGCGCACGCAGCTCGCGCGGCCGGGACGCAGCAATAGCCCTTGAGCAACAATTACTTGAGCCTTGAGTCTTGAGCCAAAATGGCACACCCCCTGTGGTGTCGAGAATATGCCACACTGGTGTTGTATGGTGTGTGTGTGTGTCTGTGCGAGTGTGTGCATGCGTGCGGCTGTATGCAGACGCGTGTCTCATGTGCGCGCCGTCCATGTGTTACGCGTGGGCGAGGAGAGGAAGAGGAGGAGGAGAGGAGAGGAGGGAGAGAGGTGTGTCAGGGAGGCGCGGGTGGGACGCGGCAGAGAAGAAAACCAGAAACCCACTAAACACGTGGGGAACCAACATCAAACAAATCAGTAAACCAATGCATCTATATGTATGTGTATGCCTTTCCCACGTTTCCCTGTGATGGGACTCTGAAGCAGTAAAATGGCTCCACAATTGCCCCAGGGAGCCTCAGAGAGAAGCACAGGAGAGGAGCCCTAGAGGCCCACAAGAGCGCTCTAAGAGGCTCTCGATGGGGCGGGCGGATTGAGGGCAGGAGGAGGAGGCGGAGGCGGAGGCGGAGGAAAATGGGAGCACTCCTCCTTCCCTCCCGTGCACCTGCGGAGCAAGGGCGGCAGACGAGCTGGTGACGCCTCGTTCTGAGCCCAAAGGCGCCATGTGTCGATCGGCAGCTCCGCGCGCGGGGGGGGGGAAGGCTGCAGCGTGCGGTCAGGGGGCCCGGGGCCCCCCTGACCCCTGCAAGAGGCAGGAGGAGGAGGGAGGACCAGCAACTATGGCAAATTCGTGTCGTGACGACTGCGGCGGTGGTTTCTGACACCGTGTGGGTCGCTCAACCGCCATCGCTCGGACGTCCATTCCCCGTGCGCTGCGCGGTCTCGGGCGCATGCTTTTCGCGCGACGGCCCCAAATGCTCCTCGCGATGGTCCTCGCCGAGAAAAGAAAGCACACGTCCGCGCGATGCCAAGGCCTCGAACGATCGGCGGCCCACCAGTCGCCAGATCGCTCCATCTCGGCCGACCCTGGGCCACGAGCGGCGCTCAGCCTTGAAGGCCCGCGCACCTTCCCGACATCCTCGTCTGCCGCCTGCAGCACCCAGGCGGCGGATGAGGAGAGAGGGGGAGGGATCGGCGGCGAGCGCCGGGGGGGAATGAGAAGGGGCGGGCCTTCTCAAAAAGCTCGGACGTCCACGGGCCTTCTGAGAAGTTTGTCTAAGCCTGCTCCGAAAACACAAAAGAATCTCTCGGAAGGCCAGAGGCCTTCTGACAAGTCACGCCGCCTTCTGAGAAGGCAGTCTCCTTCTCACTTCACCCCCTCGCTCGCCGCCGAAGGAGTAGGGAAAAGGAGACGCACCGCCAGCACCACCTGGAGGATGGAGGCAAAGGGTGGGCCACGGGTGATGGTGGTGTGTGTCGGTTCGGGCGTTCTCGCGGGACATCGTGCGCACCCGTATCCCGCACGCCAACTCGTCCCGAATCCCCCCAGGGGTGGTGGTGGTGGTGGTGGTGGTGCGCTTCCTGCTCCAAAGGAAGGGGCAAGGAGGGAGGACCGACCAGAGTGAATCCAGGGTGCATCGACGAGGCTGCAGCAGACCCTCCCGCCCCGGGTCCCCTCCTCGCAGGTCCGTGCAAATGCCCCTTTTCTGCACCACGAGAGACGCCATCCTTGCACAGCGAGCCCCCGCGCATGCCACTCGGGCGAGAGCCCGTCGTCAGAACGGATCAGCCATCCGCCCTTTGAGCTGAATAAAATGCAGAAGTGGACAGGGCCAGTCCAGTGCAGCAGGGGCCAGCATCGGATCGGGGCCCCAGGTCGAAAGAATCCCGTCGAAACTTTCGAAATCGGGACAAAGTCGGCGATCGTCACGTCGGCTCGGTCATCGGATACCAGAGCTCGGATCGGAATCGGATCGGAAACTTCATGGGGCGTCGTGTCAAAATGCATGGCGAGAACCCAAGAGTTGAAAAGTAGTCGCCCAATGTTCGCACGTGTCCGCCTCCCATCAACTGTGTAAGAATCGCGCAGGCTTGAGCTCCTACTCGTGGAACCAAAAGCAATGTCAAGCGAGAGCCCGAGTTCGGAAAACTGTCGCCCTACATCAAAGTATTTGTTCCAAGCGTTGAAAAGAAATATACACGGCGCTGAAGCGACAAACACAGTTCGAAAACCACCCGCCCTCCAACCACTCGCCCACCTGGCCGGAATTTGAAGTTTTGACCATAGACATTGAAACGCATGCCCAACAAAACAGCTGGCCCGACCTGCCGACACGTCTGGTGGCGCGACGAGGAGGAACCATGTAAAAGAAAGAGGGATGGACAAGAAGTATAATGTTGGGAGACGGTATTACGACGTGGGTCAGACTGTAAAAACGATTATAGGTGAGGTGGTTGTAGTGGGTTCCCCTCAGATCTGCATGGGTGGGGGGCGAGGGGGAGGAGAAGAAAACAGAAAAAGGAGAGGAAGGGAAGGAAGGGACTAGGGAAGAGGCGAGGGGGAGCCAGAGATTCCTGCAGGGGTTGGACGGGCCCTCGGAAGTGTGCGCAAGAGTGGAACGGATGGAGTTCGGGAGGGGGGTTCTGGAGGCTAGGAGGAGCAGCAGCCATGACACCCGAGGCTCCAACACTGGACACGCTAGGGCGGAGAGATGGGGCAGAGGCGTACGAAGAAGAGAAACGGGATCATCCTCCACATCGTGCACACTCTCTCTTTCTTCATCATCCTCTTACTACCCCTCCTGATCCAATTCCAACTTCCCTATATCCCTATCCATCTGTCTCCCGCAATAGTTGCACAGATATATATATATATATATACTAAATGAATGAATAAATCAACATGTCAATACGTACAAACCTACAAACGTAGACATCTACTTATACAGGCCGGGAGATGTCCCTCTTGCACCCCAAATGCCGTATCGACGTGCCGTGCAGGTGACCGGATACATGAGCCCCCCATCCTCCTGCCTCCCCCCTCCTCCTTCCCTTGTCTCCGTCCTGGGAAGACCCGTCCTGGGAAGACCCCCCTCCTCCGTGGCATCATACTTTTGGTCAGCTGATCCGCTGTTCCGTGAATGGCATGGTGCATCGCGCGAGTTCCCCCGCTGATCCAATTTCCCCTGGGTCAGGGATGTTAACTATTAGTGTGTATATATATATATATATTCATTCACGGAGATTATCACGCGGGAAACGGGATCCGCGCAAAGCAGGAACAGGATCCACGACGCTGTCGCGCACCCGAGAATTTGATCCATCGGAGTTCTCATGTCAATCCACAAAGAAAAACGTTCGGCCTGGGGACGTAGGATCCGGCACCCCTCTCGCACTTGCACGCAGGGGCGGCAGTGGCACACCGCGCTTACCATGCATCACGGGCAAAACGTATGGTGCGAGTGGGAGAGACGCGGTTCGAAATCCCGTTGGAAAATGCGGCGCCCCTCTCGCACTTGCACGCAGGGGCGGCGGCGGCACGACACACTCACCATACATCACAGAAAGAGCGAATGGTGTTCGTGGGAGAAACGCAGTTCGAAATCCCGGGGATTCGGCACTCCTCAACCCTCCATGGCGGAAGCAACGCGCCGTTCAGGTGAGCGGATGCATGTGCCCCCCTCCTCGCGCCCCCCCCCAACACCTCCTTCCCCTCGCCGCCCTGGGAAAACCCCCCTCCTCCGTAGCAGCATAACATTGGTAAGCAGATCCACAGTTCCGTGGATGGCATGATGCTTCGCGCGCGGTGATCCGCGGATCCAATGTCCCCGGGTCCGGGATGTTGAATATATATATATATATACACATACATATACATATACATGTACATATACATGTACATATTTCTATTCACACAAATATACATATGTGTATTAACTCCTGGAGAATTCCTGGGCCCATTTGTTTTTATTTCAGGCGGGGAGCTGGATCCGCGCAAGACAGACATGGGATCCACGACGTTGTCGAACACCCGACAAAATATAGTTGGATCCATCGGCATTCTCTTCTTCCGACCTCCGCAAAGAAAATTTTCGGCCTGGGGACGTAGGATCCGGCACTCCTTTCGGAGTTGCACGCTGGCGTGGCGGCGACACGACAAAACCACCATACATCACGGATAGAGCGCATCGCGTGCATGGTGTGGATGGGAAAGACGCAGTTCGAAATCCCGCTGAAGTACCCGGCACCCCTCTCGCATTTGCACGCAGGGGCGGCGGTGGCACAACACACTCACCAAAAACCATTGAAGACATGCATAGTGTGAGTGGGAGGGACGCAATTCGCAACTCGAAATACCGTTCGAAGATTCGGCACCCCTCTCGCACTGCGCGCAGGGGTGGCGGTGGCACACACTCACCATACAGCACAGAAAAAGTGCATGGTGTGTGTGTGTGTGTGGGAGAGACGCCGTTAGAAATCCCGCTGAAGGATCCGGCACCCCTCTCACTCTTGCACTCAGGGGCGGCGGTGGCACAACACACTCGCGCGCGGTGTTAGCGGGAGAGACTCAATTCGAAATCCCGCTCACGCAAGCCAAAAAATTGTCCTCTTGAGCGCACAATGTCGGAAACGACGCGCCGTTCAGGTGAGCGGATGCATGCGCGCCCCTCCTCGCGCCCCCTCCCACGTAGAACGAACTCTTTGGTCGGCAAATCCACAGTTCCGCGGGGGCACGATGCTTCGCGCGAGGCGGCCCGCGGATCCGATGCCCGCTGGGTCCACAATAGTAGATCTTGTTATATTTCGGGATAACAAATGGACGCACTAGCTCTTCGCGCGGGAAAAGAAACCCGCGCGCGACAAAAAGAAGATCCACACCCGTGTCGCGCGCCCGAAATGAGCCCCAATTGGATCCATCGGCGCTATCATTTTCTAGTCCAAGAAGGGGTAACTTTCGGTCTGGGGACGAACAATCCAGACCTTTTTCGCCCGTGCACGCAGGGGTGGCGGCGGCGCAACACGACCACAGTACATCACGGGAAAAAGGCACGATGTGAGTGGGAGGGACGCAGTTCTACTTCCCGCTGAAATTCTCGGCACCTCTTTCGCAGTTGCGCGCGGGTGGCGGCGGCGCAACACCCCCGCCACGCATCGTGGAAGCAGTGCGTGGAGTGTCCGAGATCCCGAGGATTCGGCACCCCTCTCGCATTTGCACGCAGGGGCGGCGGCGGCGGCACAACGCACTCAACGTACATCACGGGAAGAGCGCATACATATCGGAGGCACAACACAATCACCATACAAAATGAAACAAAAATGCATGGTGTGAGTGGGGGAGACGCACTTCGAAATCCCGAGGATCCGGCACCCCTCTCGCACTTGCACGCAAGGGCGGCGGTGGCACGACACACTCACCATACATCACGGAAAAAGTGCATGGCGTGACTGGGAGAGACGCAGTTCGAAATACCGCTCGAAGATTCGGCGCCCCGCTCGCACTTGCACGCAAGGGCGGCGGTGGCACAACACACTCACCCTTTCGCACTTGCACGCAGGGGCGGCGGTGGCACGACGCCTCCACCATACATCGCGGAAACAGTGCATGGCGTTACTGGGAGAGACGCAATTCGCAATCCCGCCTGCGCAGACTGAAAGATTTTCCTCTTGAGCCCCAAATGTCGGCAGCGACCCGCCGTTCAGGTGAGCGGATACATGTGCCCCCCCTCCTCGCGACTCCTCCCTCCCCCATCGCCTCTCCGTCCTGGGAAGACCCCTCGTTCCCCGTAGAATCGCAGCTTTGGTCAGCAAATCAGCAGTTCCGCGGATGGCGCGATGCTTCGAGCGCGAGGCCCCGCGGATCCGATTTCCCCTGGGCACTGGGCGCTAACTTGCATTACTGAATCATGTCCGGAAAACAAATGGATCCATTATTTCAACGCGCGGGAAGTTGGATCCGCGCAGGACAGAAATCCAATCCACGGCGCTGTCGCACACCCGAAGAGGGATCCAATTGGATCTATCGGCGTCCTCATGCTTGGTCTTTACAAACCTTCCGACCTGGGGACGCGGGGCCCGGCGCCCCTCTCGCACTGGCACGCAGGGGCGGCAGTGACGCGACGCGCTCACCATGCATCCTGGAAAGAGCGCGCAGAATGGACGGGAGAGATCCGACATCCGGAGGATTCGGCACCCCTCTCGCACTTACACGCATGGGCGGCGGTGGCACAAAACAGTCACCATACAAAATGGAAAAAGTGCACGGTGTGAGTGGGGGAGACGCAGTTCGAAATCCCGTTGAAGGACCCGGCACCCCTCTCACACTTGTACGCAGGGGCGGCGGTGGCACGACACACTCACTGCAGACACCATGGGAAAAAGCGCACGGTGTTAGCGGGAGGAACGCAATTCGAAATCCCTCTTACGCAGGCCGAAAGATTTCCCCCTTTAATGCCACATTTCGGAAGCGACGTACCGTTCAGGTGAGCGGATACATGTGCCCCCTCCTCGTGCCTCCTCCCACCTCCTCCCCCTCTCCGTCCTGGGAAGACCCCATCCCACCGTAGAACCATAGCTTTGGTCAGCTGATCCACAGTTCCGTGATGAGCATGATGCTTCGCGTGCGGCGCCCCGCGGGTCCCATGCCCCCAAGGTCCGGGATGTGTGTTGTTATACATACATATTCCCGGGAAACAAATGGATCCATTAACTCTTCACACGGGAAACTGGATCCGCGCAAGACAAAAATAGGATCCACGACGCCGTCGCACACCCGAAAGGGGAACCCAATTGGTACATCGGTGTTCTCATATTTGTCGTCCAAGAAGAAAAACGTTCGGCCTGGGGAAGAAGGATCCAGCACCCCTGTCGCACTTGAACGCAGGGGCGGCGGTGGCACAACGCACCGACCATGCATCACGGAAGGAGCGCGGCGGTGGCCCCACACGATCACCATACATCATGGCAAGAGCGCGCGGCGTGACTGGGAGAGACGCAGTTCGAAATTCCACTAAAGGATTCCGCACCCCTCTCGAACTTACACGCAGAGGCGGCGGTGGCACAACACATTCGCCACATACCATGGAAAGAAAGCATGGTGCGAGCGGGGGAGACGCAGTTGGATATCCCGCTTACGCAGGCTCAAAGATTTTCTTTTGAGCGCGAAATGTCGGAAGCGACGCGCCGCTCATCCAACGTAGCCTGCCAGAGGTCTTCAAAGCACCCGAATACAGCGTCGTCGAAGGCACCATCCATCCACCCTAAATTGTAGTTGCACGCTGCACGAAGGTGGTGCGTCACCGCGCTCTGGGCGAAGGTGCGAAGTAGGACCCACGCTCCCTCGGCGGAAAGCCCTGCAGCCCGAAGGTCTTGCAAACGAGCCCGAAAAGCGGTGGCCCTTGCAACGGCGACCGTTCCGTCGGCGCCAACGCGAACTCGGACCCTCTCGTCCTCTTGGTCCAACCAAACCGCTGCGTTCCATAGACAAGTGAGGGTGTCAACCCGGGCCTGCTACGCTCTCAGGGGCAACGCTTGCGCCCGGTCTTTCGTCCAGGCTTTGGTCTTGCCCTGGTTCACCTGGAGCCCAGCCTGCGTGAGCTCTGCAACAACTATCTGGATGGCCGCGGCGGCCTCCTCATCCTCCTCCTCTTTTTCCCCCTCCTCCTCCTGCAAAACCCCGAGGAGGGTTCTGCACGGGAGCTCGGCGACAGCGATGACGATCGGTCACGTTTTTACCTCAGCACGGCGAAGCAAGTCTCGGTAGCTTCAGCCGTTAAATACTTGAGCCAACGGTAACGGGGACACCTTCACTCCCCAGTCACCTGAATGCTCACATGTTAACACCCCCCCTCGGACGCTAGTCCGTATAGGCTGACGGGGAGGCTTCAACAATCATGAAAACAGGTCAAGCTAGACAAAACGTCGCACGCACATGACGTTAAGTCTTAAGTCTCTTCATCACACTGTTGAATTCGAAATGTCGCGTGAAGGCGTTTACGAGCACCAAGTTTCTCACATATAACCTGAGCTCGAGTAAACGCTTTTACTGTCACAAGTTCAAACGAAGCATCTAAAGTTCACACAGCAGGCTAGCATTTGGATGATTTTGATTGCTTTCGCTTCTTATTCGCCAATACCTGCGGTAACAACAAGAGATGCGCATGCAAACAAACTCAGCTCAACAAGCTGCCGCCACTCGATCGCGAAGCCAAGTTAAGAGGGGAGATGAGGAAGAGCGTGAACTGCAGCATGTTGACTGCCTGCCATCTTTCACGGACGGCGCGGGCGCCTCGCCGACGGGGTTCGCGAACCCCTCGACCTCGGTAACCCGCGATGGCCCACGCCGGCTGCGGTGTAGGACGACACCCTGTCAAGGGCCTGCATCGGGCTGCAGTAATCGTTGTCCATGCACGCGTTAATGCGCTCCTCGTCGTCAAGCCAGCACCCCTCATCGTGGCTCTTGATTGATCCGTCAACGATGTTGTGGTAAGTGCCGATGGCTCTCCAGTAACTGGCGTGGGGAGCCTTTAACAGAGGCCCACCGCCTGGATTGTTACGGAGGTGCTCTTCGACCGCAGCGCCGGATCGGTAAGCCAGTTGGGGAAGTCGTCGCACGGTAACCAGTCAAACCAGCAAAGCCTCTCACGGTGATCGCTTTTACGCTCGGTGACATGATCGGCCGGCCAATTATCACGGTAAAGTGCCCTCATGGATCCCTGATCGTTAAGGGCAACTTCCAAGACGGTCTGGTGCCAGTAGACTGGAGGCTTGCTGATCCTGCCCTTTAACTCCGCGGTGCTGCTGACCTCGAGGTCGTCGATGATGTAGTTACGGTAATGCACCTGGAGCCCGTTCATGTAACGGCAGTAGAGTCTGGCAAGATCGGGCGTCGCAAAGCGAATCACGGTAACTCCAGTCGAGATGTAACCGCGCGGCCCATGGGTGTCCTCCACCAGGTGCTTAACGGAGATCACGGTGGGGTTGCCGTGGGGCAGCATTCCTGCCCACGTTAAGAGGAGGCCGTTAAGCTGCTTCTCGTTCATCTCCGGCACCTTGTTGACGTACACTTGCGTGTCCGGGCAACTGCGGTGCTCAAACCACGATGGGTGAAGCTCGTTAATGTGGAGCGGCGGCGAGTAGTCATCGTCAAATAAGGCTGCACGTGCCCAACCGCGTCAACCCATTCATCATGCTTGGCCAACTCTTTGTCCGTTAACTGAGACCTCCAGCTGATCGGACCTTCCAACGCGGCATAGCCGATGAAACCGTAAGCATGTTGGCCGAAATGTCAACGAACACGTCGTCGTAATCGTTAAGCCCCCGCCCGGCGTTGCCCTGAATGCACCTGCCGCCAGGGGTCGTCAACCCCGCCTTCGCCACGTGCCCGACGAAGTTACCCTCACACTTGCGCCAGTTATCACGCGTCTTCATCGTTAAGGCTACCACCTCCCTGGGATCAGGTTCCGCCCGAAAGTTAACGTCGTAGTCGTCGTTCCTGTTGTTCAGCATGGACATGCGACCGTTGACGTGGTACAGCGGGCGGTAAGTGGTGTCCTTGGCGGCGATCCTGGAGTGCCTCTCAACCTGATCAGTCGTGCGGTTAACGACCTGAGGCTGCGGTGGCGGGATGTGCTGGATCGGTGACCTCTTGGGCTCTGGAGGCGGGGGCTTCACGCCGGTAACGCTGCTTGCCGCTCTGGACTCGCCGAGCCCCGGAGGGGGCGGCTTGGCCGGCCTCGCGTTTACGACGGGGGCAGGATCCTTTGGCGCCTCATCGCGTCGACCACCAACCGTTCGATCCTCGTCCATCTTCACGCCTATCTGCATCAACTCCTCCAGCTCCCGTCGACGTTCCCGCATGGCCTTCGGCGCCCGCTTGTAAACAGGCCGTGGCTCTTCACCGCCCTGCCGGCTCAACGGCGACGCTCGAATCTTGTTCGGCGACGCGGACCGCCGACCCCCCCCGGCTTTAGCGGTTACGCCGGCCAGGTCCTGAGTAGGGGGAGCCTTGCCTGGCGGAGCCACGTTAACCTGCTGCGCTGGGGGCGCGCCCGTGGCCATGGGCCCGGCTGCCGCGGCGGCGGCAACGGGCGGCGCCTTGGCGGGCGCTGCCGTCGGGGGCGACCCAGGCAACGGCGGCGGCACCTGCGGAATATCGGTAACCGGGGAGTCGATCGGGTCATCCAAGAACATCTGCAAACCCTCAAGCCTCTCGGTAACTCCCACTAGAATACGTAGCGCCGCATCACGTTTACCTTCGAGGTCCTGCAGGGGCGTGATATTCTCGGTAAGGCGCCTGGCGGCAATCAAGAAGCAACCGATATGTTCGTTAATGCGCCGGTACTTGGTTGCATTCTCCGCCGTGTTAACCTCCGAGTCGCGATTCTTGATGTTCAACTCTGTCACCATCGCCACAAGGTTGTTAACCTCGTCCTGCGCCCTCTTGAGGTTCTCGTTGACATCGTCACTGGCGTGAACCAACGCGGTGTTCTGCTGCGTTAAGTCAACGATCCTCCGCGCCATATCATCGGCGACCCTCTGCATCTCGTCAACGTGCTTATCATCGGCCCCGTGGAAGTTAATGGCCATGTTGGTGAGGGTCACGGTGAACGCATGAGCCACGTTGACGATATCGTCGACGCGGCGATTGAGGTTCTCGCGCGTAACCGGCCCTGCCCCAGGCGGGCTCTGGTCGACCGCCGCGCCGTTGATCGTGACGTTGACTTGATGGTCCGCCATGCTTTCGTTCACGCTCGAGGGAAAGTAAAGGATGGAGGAAGCTTTAATCAAGACAGCTTGCTCGACAGAAATGAGCTGCGGATGTCAACACTCGGTGGCCGGCGCAAGGCTGTGCCGACCTGTTAATGCGCTTTGGTTTGTGTTTAGCAGGTGTGTGCTCATACTTTCACGACTGACATACTTGGTTAATGCATCTGCTACGTTCTCATGAGTACCTACTTTCGCAATTCGAATCACTCCCTCCTTTACCTTCTGCTGCAGCCACAGTTGACATACTTCAATGTGTCTTACTTTTCCTAAACCTCGTCTACTCGCAAGCGCGATTGCAGCCGTGGCATCACTTTTCA